TCACTGGTTGTTTTTATCTGATTTACATGCATTTGGTTCAACTGCCCCACTCTCCTGTGAGCAGCTGTAAACCGATACATATTTTCCATACAAGGCCGACTGTACAGGGCGACTGTTACGTTGATAACATGTTGGAGTTCACCCTCACTCTGCTTATTACCTGGGTCTTTTTCTCAAGCGTTTGTCTGTTAGAAGTATTTCTTGACAACCGTTTTGAGTTCAGTGTTTTTGTTTGGGTTTTTGTTTTATCTTTTTTTACAATGTTGCTTATGTTTTAAAAAGTCTATTGTTTATTTGAGAGTTAGTAAAAGTTTCTTTCTTTAAAGCTGGAGTTCAGTTGGTTTTAAATATTGGCTTTAGGTAAAGGATGTTACTAACTGCCTTCAGATGTGAGACTTTAAGTTCTAAAATAAAATGTTGTCTTTCACTCAGTCTGGGTTTAAGATCCTCACTGTCTGACCCTCTCCTATATAACCAAACATAGCAAAAATAATTAAAAAACATATGTTTTAAATAACTGTTTCACCTTCACAAATATTTATCTTATTTATGTCAGGCTATAACTGACAGAGTTCTGATAGTTTTTTTATATCTGTTATCGTTGTTGCTTCAAAGTGGATAATAAAAGACTGTAAACTTTCATGCGGAATTATCAGGTGAAAGTGACAACTTAGATAACTGCATGGCAAACTAGGCTTGTGGCATTAAATACTTTTTATACTGATTAAGCTATTGGTTAAAAAGACATGTTATGGTATCGTTATCTGTAGTACGAGCGTAAGAAGACAATGAGTTTTTGTTTATTTAAAGACAGGTTTTCTGTTTTGAATTTGAAAAAGAAACCCGAAATGTACCCAAAATATTCATATCTCCAGTGATATGTAGGCCTGTTAAATTTAATGTAATCTCCTGGGGAGTCACGTAATTATTATGGGTGAAATTCACTTCATTGCTGGTATCGGTTTTTTTAGTCATTTATTGAGTCCTTATTTACACTGGACGGGGACTTTGTCAGGACAAAAAACATGTGATTTTGAGTGGTTACATTGTATCGAAACAATGTTACAGAGTTGATATGATGATGGTTGTCTAAAGGTCACATGAAGTGGTCTATAAAGTAAACACTCTCGAGTTGACAAGTAGACCCAGGTCAAGTTCCTCTCTGTTTTGAATTCTCTTTACCTCTGTCACTGAATGTGTGTTTCGTTGACAGAGTGCTGTTGAAAAGCCTTTCTTTTCTGTTGTGTCTGTTGTTGATAACAAGATGAGTGATTCATCACCACTGTGACTGCTTTCCTCCCCTTTATTTTAGTTTGTTTGCTCTGAGTTCTGTACAAAAGAAAAATGTGTTGAAATGGTTGGAGTGTTGCAAAACCGTCTTTGTTTTTGCCATTTTTACACAAAATACCAAAGAAAAACTGTTTTTGTTTCTCAAGGAAAGAATTCTCTCAAGTTGATTCTTGTTTCTTTGTATATTTAAAAGCTGAAGGGAATGGTTTCTCTAATCTAGGGTCATTGACCTGCAATTAATGAAAATATGAAATAACAACAACAACAAAGTCTGAAGTCATTTCAGTGTTTTCTATGCTTTTGTTTATATGTTTTTTTTTTTAGCTTAATAGAGGATTAAAATATACCTCTTAAAGAAGAAAAAAGTACATTATAGATTAAAAAATGATATATTTTTTGAATTGCACCTTCTGGTCTAATAAGTGTAAAGAAAGGCAGAGAAGTACAGTGGCCTGAAAGCAGCAGGTTTACTTCCCAAATTGGGGATCAGCGAAGCCGATCAATCAGGCTCAAAAACAAACATCATGGCCAACTGTTAGCTTTTTAATTGGACAGACTGTGCTCCGCTGGTACTTCATTAGCCTAGTATTTGCACTATGACCAAAAATTGATTGGCAAAAATAGATTTTTATGAGCGTATTTGCTTTCGACACGGTACGATAAATCAGCCAGTTAAGAGTCGTCTTCCCTTTTGTTTAAAAACTCCCCTAAAATGCTACAAATGCATCTGTCGCCCACCGTATACACTGCCCGAGATGTTTATGAAACTTCTGCCTGTTATTGAACTGAAATGGAGATGACAACACAGGTATTCATGTCAGCTTCATAATAGGTTCTTATAAATGGGACGTGGCCTTGGGTGATTGGTCTTAGTCATGTTTCTTGTTTCTTGTTTCTTGAAAGGAAATATTATGCTCTAAATTGTTTCTTGAAAGGAAATATTATGCTCCAACTGGCAGAGTCACATGTTTTGCTGGGCTACAATGATCCTGTTCATCAAAACAAAGGAACACTTTTGAAAGTGACAGTAATGCTCCTCGATTCAAAGTCAGTTTCCTCCAATGAAACAGACACAGGAGTGTAAATAAAAAAAGGGTGTCAACTTCTGAGAAATGTCTCTTCTACTTTCCTGTGAGTGACTGCCTCGTGTTTATCCTGTTTGGTTAGTGTTCGCGGCAGGTCTGCGGTTTGATATCCACAGTCTGACTTGACCCTATGGTAGAAAGAACTTCCTTAATCAGTCATTTGATCTTCTTTAGAAGCAGATTGACTTCATTCCACAACTGTCACACATCTTCCAGTATTCTCGCAGCTTCCCCGAGATTTACATAATTAAGAGGAGTTTGTTTATGAATTGGGAGGTTTCTCAAAAAGGTTACTCTTAATCTCAGCTACTTACAGGCCTGTGTGAAAGACAGGTGTCCATCGACAACTCCGCTAAATCAGTGTTGCCCAACTTATTTTGATTAGAAAAAGTTGGCACACCACCAGACAAAGATAACACCAAAGGTTTATGTAATGCATTATTATGATGTTCTAGTTTAAATTTAGACACAATTTACTTAAATGGGCCTGTTTACTTGAACACAACCATTACAGGAGTTGAAGAAAGACACAGAAAATTTAATTGAAATTAAAAGATTTAATGATTAGGATTTTTTTTATTTTGATCTCTGACTTTGGTATATATTTGTTGCAATTTTATGTTTGTTTAAATGAGTCAGCAAGACACATGATCACATGATTTAAAATTTTTTTTTTTTATTACTCATAACATGTGACATTATCAGTAACCACATGATGCCATTTGACGGTATCCTCGGATGTCGACGATGTGCATCTTGTCTACATCTTGTTCAAGGCGATGTCGACGTGCATCTTGTCTACATCTTGTTCAAGGCTGTTCTTTTGTTCCCATTCTTTGGGGCCTCATCTCCACTCCTGTGTCTGTTTCCAGGGTAACTACATTCCCCTTGGAATTCACCATATCACTGAATAGTGACAGTTTCCATGACAACGTTTGGTTTACAACTGTATGATTTTTCATTTAAGTACAAAAGAAAATTAATCTCTGTCTCTAATTAGTCATTTATCGTTGAATTTGCTTCAGGTCTTCACTGAGTGTGTCCAGAGATTGATAGATAGTGATTTTGAGGACGTTGCATTCTGGGAAAATTTACAACAGGCAAGATGCATCCTGCCTGCAACTCATCCGCATATATCGCTATCGATCAATGTCTGCAGAACAGGCAGGGCTGGCACTGCATCTGTCGTCCCCCTGACTGTTGGGTTTCACTGTAAAGATTCTGCAGCTTCCTATCACACACCACTGCCTTCTCATTATGTTTCTGATGTCCAACACATTGAGACACGGCTTCTGAGGACAGCAACACTGGTTTGTGCTGCTTCCTCATCCGTGTCCAGTATAGCGAGGATTGTCGGGCGGAGAGCACAAATCTTTGTGTTCTGCTTTTTCCTTGCAAAAAGAAGGAACGTGAAGACAGTCAACGTAACCACGTGATTTTTGTTCACCCGGTTGACCTTTGTGAATATGTTTGGGTTTTTTTTCGGTCATTGATTTTCCTCAAGTCGTTCAAACTTGGCTTTGGGTGAATTGTTACAGATGTACCGCTCACTCGAGGCCTGCCAAGTTTTTACAACTTCAGTGATTTTTCTATTAGCCGTTCTAATTGGTAGATTTATGATGGTGATATGTGACTCATCAGAGAGAATTCAGGACATTGTCAGCCTTTCAGGGACAAATGTGGGCAGATGTCGTAGAGTCTGAAAATACAAATACTTTAATGAATTTAAGTAAAGACTTTAGACCTAAAGAAAAGGTTGGGGTCTTTTTTTTGTCGACATTAGCAATACAGTTCCCCTACAAGGGCTAGTTGTAAACGGCAGACTGTATAGACTACTTTATAACATTTAATAAATGTTTCTGAAATTGATTATGTAACTACTTTATAAGATTTAATAAATGTTTCTGAAATTGATTATTTATTTAAATTACAAATATTGTTCATTGCTGTGTGAAAAACTTTTAATTTATCATGTGAAGAGACTCTGCTGCATGGACTTTATTAAAGGCTTTTTAAGTTTGATACGTACCGTAGACAATTGATGGAAAATGTCTTTATAATTTGGTTTTATTGTATTTTGTCTAAAGTTATAATAACTAGTGAGTTTAAAATTGTATCCTCCATTGATTGTTTGTAGTGAGAATAAAAGCCTTGGGGCTGAAAGCCTTGAGGACAACTGAGAGCCCCAGTGTTTGTGAACATCGTGAACTCAGTCAGTGGTTAAACTATGGGATGGAAAATGATGAACCCAGGTCAGCCTTGAACCCCCTGCAGGGCCACAGACAACCAAGTGTTTGTTACTTTGCTTGTGCACAATGCAGGTCAGGAGTTGTTCATGGAGCGTTTGTGCATCGGATTTTAAAATGTTGATAATTCTAAGGGAAAGTCGTATTTTAATTATCCTCAAAAGATTTTACACGATGCACTTTGCTTGTAAGACGGTTCCAGTGTCAGTCACAAAATACAGATTTTATTGTGTTTTATCACAGCACCATTAAACTGCTGGCATGAAGGGGGGGAATTATATCCTGTCCATTTTTTATTTGTCAGTAGTGGAACCCAACATGAGCACCTAAATATAGTTTGGCTCAGGTTTGTCAGATTAACTGGTGTTGGCATTGAGCACCGGATGTTACTGCCCTCCCAAGGTCTGACCATCTGAGTAAGGGCAAAATGATGGTGATGGTAGTGACATGTCCTGTAGCAAAACGTCAAAAAAAAAAAGAAAAAAAAGAAACAGTGTTGTTGTAAATCTTATGTCTGGTAAAATGTCAAGCTTTTGAATGTAGACCCTTAAACAAGGATATTAAATGAAGGACATTCACTTCTTCTATCTCAAATGTGACCTGTAATTTGTTGTTCTTTGTGGTCAGTACAACCCTTAGTATTAACCATGGGTGGACATCCTTAAAATGATGGATAGATTGAATTTTGGTGAATACATTTATGCTGTACAGAAACTGTTTTTTTGTTTTATATACGTTAGAGTGTAACGTTACCGGAAAGCCATAGTTTTGGTACATACCTCGGTTTGGTACATTTTCAGAATTAAAAGTATTCTGGATGTGCCAAAGAAATACTACTTACTACTTAAAAAATGCTAAATGCATATATATATATATATATATGTATATGTATGTGTATATATGTATATGTATGTATATGTATATATATGTGTATATATGCATATATATGTATATGTGTATATATATGTATATGTGTATATATATGTATATGTGTATATATATATGTATATATATGTATGGAGTTTTCAGATTGCAAGTCCATTTTCATGTAAAGAAAATCAACGCAGTCTAGTCTCTGATGATAATATTTATATTTTCTCCTGTGTATTTGTACCAAACATCCTGTACTGAATGGGCCGTGACAATCACACGTACCATTACAGCCCTAATGTACATATATTTAAACAGGAGGAATAGCTCATATATAACCACCATTTTTTCACACTGTCGTTTTAACCATATGGCTCCCATATGTTGGTGTTGTACGTCCTCGCTCTTCTCTGACCTCAAACGCAGTCCCAATAGACCAGGGATGAAAAGAAATGTAATTGGACATGGCAGAAAGGTCCCCACCTCTGTGTCATTAAATGTGATTACTGTCATAACCACCTGCACCACTGGATGTCTAATGGGATTATGTTGAATTGTCTCATTAGCAGAGATTAAAAGACGGGGCGCTGACCCTCCTCGTTACACTTTCTTACCTGTTAACAAGACAGATATTGCTTAGCAGTCATTAGGCTAACAAGTAATACTTGTTAGCCTTGGGGTGACAATAAGTAGCTCGGGATCTACCAGTAGATCGCAAAGGGGGTGGTAGATGATGAATTACATAAAATTAATCAATTACTTAAAAAAGTAATTAATTAATGAACATATATAACATGTGTGTATATATGTATGTATATATGTGTATATATGTATGTATATATGTGTATATATGTATGTATATATGTGTATATATGTATGTATATATGTGTATATATGTATGTATATATGTGTATATATGTATGTATATATGTGTATATATATATATAAATATATGTATATATTTATAAATATATTGAATTTGTGTGTAGTAGTGACCATATACTGTATGATTCAGTCCTTACAGATGTTACGTAATTATGCTAATATCGGGCCGATATTATTGGTTGGCCAATATTACACTTAACTTAGTGAAATCCTTGACAACGATAATACTAAAAGATGATGACTAAAGTTGTCAGATTTGTTCAAGATGAGAGACTGAGAGACTTGTCGCAAAATTATTATCAACATCTTTTTTATGTTTTTTTATGTTGAATTTATGAGAATTTAAAAATATATTTATTTATTTATTTTTGTCTCTGTGTATTTTTGTCTTTTCAGTTGTCGGTTCCTCGCCGAGAACTTGACACCTGCAATCCCGGTCATAGGTGGCGCCCTGTTTCTGTTTGTACTGGGCACATTACTAAGAACCAGTTTCAGTGACCCAGGGGTGCTGCCCAGGGCCACCGCGGATGAAGCAGCTGATCTGGAGAGGCAAATAGGTAAGTGCTGTGAATGACTATCAACAGAAAAAGTGGGCTACGTGTAATTGAAATTTCTTAGCATAGTTGTGTTTCCCCTTTCCTCTTCATGGTTACTGTATATTGTTACTGTTAAGTGTCCTAGTTTTATGTATCCGATCTTTAATAAAATGTCTTTCCAGTTCATTTTAGGACAGCACAGTTATGGCCAAAATGATAACCACAATTATCAATATTTATATCAAGAATATTAATCATGATTATTTAGGCTTTCAGGTCAAAATGGAACTTCAAATAAAAATAAATATATATTTCATAAAATAAAATGTACAAATACCAATGAAAAATCAATATGTTGCTGTAGTGACAGTGACCCCTATTCCTGTTGGCAAATGTACAAATGCCAATGAAAAATCAATATGTTGCCGTAGTGACAGTGACCCCTATTCCTGTTGAGGTAACTACTTTTATATTATTTTATATAATGATATTAGAGCGTACTACTAAACGCTCACAGTATTTATCACACACGCCACACGTCTTTGGCCAATTAAAACACTAGTGTATCCGTTATTTCACAGTGTCTGTAACAGTTGGATGGATGCAGCGTTACTCGGGACGGGGTTGCCATTATTGTTGTCTTGGTTGGTGCTTGACGGAGGCGAGGATTTTGTGTACCAGCGTTAGCGTTATGCCTGCGAGTTTGTGGTGTTTTTTCAGGCGGTTGAATAAGTTAGCTTTGTTGTCCTATGGCGCAGAGACAATTCTACAGCTCAGCATACACCTTCTTTTGGTCAGTACTAGCTCCTCCCCACCTTTAAATGCTGCAGCACCGTCACCACCTGCTCCCGACATTACGCATCACTCTCGCATTAGTCCATAAAAAATTTGAGGCTTCCCCCTACCGCTTGCTTCAGGGTGTGCTAATTTACCAATTAGGTTGCTTTTGGTCGCCCCTTGGCTGACTGTTGGTTGAGAAATTGCTTGATTTTATATGCAGCAGAGCCCAATTTTTAAATGTCAATATCGCAAAGAAAACGTAAACGTAGCAGCCAAAATTGTGATCTTTTTGATTAAAATTCTGTTAGCAGAGGTGGAGCAAACCTGAGGGGAAAAGTTCCAAACCCATTGACGTGAAGATGAGTGAAGACTTTTTTGTCCTTATGCAGTTGTCATCTATCTGTCCTCGTCCGGCGTTGTTTATATTTCCTTCCATCTCACTCTGCCTTTTTCAGACTTAGCTCGACTGCTTGATAGTGATCCAAATAAAAAAAACTCTGTCTGTAAATCCACCTACACAGAGACTGTATGGCTGATGTGTTCACTGTCCTCTCCGTGTTAAAGGCTGAGGTCAGGTGTTTATGCTGCTTTCAGAGAATTGCATTTGATCTGTTGCTCACTCATTATTTTCCCAACTTCCTTTTACTGTGATTGTTTAGAATTCGCTAAGTGTACCGTTTCTAATGTAGAATATATTCAACCTGTAGCTCACTCACGGTTCACTTACTGTAACTAAATATTGTGTATATATGTATATGTGTATATATATGTATGTGTATATATGTACATATGTATTTGTATATATATATTAATATATATGTGTATATGTATGTGTATATATATGTACATATGTATTGGTATATATATTTATACATATATGTATATATATGTGTGTGTGTATGTATATATATATATA